GGGGGGCTGGGAGGGGGAGTTGTGGCCCCTCGACGCGGCCTCGGGGTCGTGTCCCCCAAATGGCTGAGGTGAGGGGGACTGGCCTGGCCGCCCCCTCCCACACGGAGCCACGCTCATCTCGCCCTTACCGCTTTTTAAGCCTTCAGCAAGGGAAGGCTGTGTATGAAGGGAAGAGCTGCGGAGCTAGGCAGGTAAAAGGGAGGGATGTGGGCTATAAGCTGTCAAAAACCAGGCCTGAGGAAATTCCGTAAGCCTTAACAAAGGCTCTTTTCGGCTCCTGTGGCCGGAGTGCTGGCAAAGGTGGGGTCGGTGGCAGGAAAACTCGAGCCCAAGTGAGATTCTGTCGGTGCCAGCTTGAAGATGGTGAGGATGTAAGCCCAAGTAGAAAATACAAAATTAAGACGTTTATAGTGGTAGAACTGGACAGAGCGCTTAAGAAGTGTGCCTGGATGGAGGCACTTATTTGAACAAAGCAGGGCTGTGGAAAAAACTTTTCTTGAAGATGGTATCTGAAGGAGAAAAAAACTCCTTTAGATAGGTGTTGTTTGGTTTTGTTTTGTTTTGTTTTTTTTTTTTTCCCAGCTGCTTCATAAAATAACTTCTAAAGGAAACCTTCAGGAATAGAAAGCGTATTGTGTTCTCTAAAACTAATCTGATCTCGCAATCTTGATCAGTTCTAAGTGAATGGACGGGTTGGGTGATGTGGTGACTGTGTAAGACCAAGATGCCTTTATGCTTCTACAGAGTCGTATTCATTGTGTCTTTGCTAAAAAGGATAATCCCAAACTGTCTAAATAGCAGCAGAAACAATGATAATTTAGTTCTTTCTTGTTAAATTAACTGGAATCTTGGGGTTTGTACATTTAGAAGATATTTTTTAGCTTGGCTTCCCTCTTAGGGTTTATCCTTAGAAAACCTTACAAAATAATACCAATCAAAAGAAAGCAAACTTTAATGAAGCCCACTATGGAGGTATCCAACCTAATACCAAAGTATACATCAGTTGTCTTTGCAGGAAGAGTAAATCGGGTTGTAACCACAGGCTGACTTTTTAATAGAATAGGTAGGATATTAAGCTGTGTATTAAAACAACAGCTAAATATGTAATACCTAATGAACAACTCAAAAAAATAAGAAGATGGTATTGTCTGTTCAAGATGGTGAGTTACAAAGAGATCTTGGAAGCCTGAAGGGCTTTCTGAAATATTTTTACATGGGAATTATATTAATCTAAACTTAAAATTTCATGTGAACTTGGCCCTTCGTAATTTATGAGAAGCTCTATGCCGTCTACAAAAGCATAAGGAAAAGCACCTCTTCCAGTGTATGCTATAAAGAAAGGACTAAGTAACTCGTTTGTCTATTGTTGTAACTAATTAGAAAAGCCATTTTTTGGTTTGTACTTCCCTTTGATATGCTCAATGAATCTACTCTTCTGTAAGCTTTTTAGCTGTCGGGCAGCATATTTAAAAACTGTAGATGGCACATCCAGATTCTGCTGGGTATTCATGTATGGTTACTTTGATGTGCTTGCTGCCTTGTTTATCTTTTAAACTTAGAATTTCGCAATAATGTTGTAAAACTGCAGAATGCACCCATTCTTCCTTAGCATTCCGTTTGAGGCATCCTGATAGGAAATATACTTACTGTGGCAAACATGGCAGTGTTTTTTGTGTGTCATCTCCTGTTGCATTGTTGGAACTTCTTACTTAAATTAAACCTGAAGCGCTCTACTGATAACTCTGCTATCTGTATGTGTGCCTGTATTGTAGGAACAGGTATGATCTTGGTATATCAAAATATGTCATGGGTCTCTTTGAAATGCAAGTATTTATTGCTGGAAGATCCTTTGCTGGGACTAGTAGGTAAAGACTTGATGTATATAGAATTTCAATTTCTACTTTAAAGATTTTGTCTTTTGAGGAGTCAAGATCAGGGTAGAAAATGGCAGTGCTGGTTTGCCTTCATACTGATAACTCTGCTTGCTGTCAGGAGTACTTGCTGTCAGGAGCACCTTGCAAAACAGTATTTGAATATTTATTAGAATTACCATAATGACAGTTAAGAGAAAGTTCTTGAAATGATGATGTATAAATTGTGTGAGAATTTGGGGGTTTTTAATGGTCATTTAATTTCTTCCATGTTCTTAACACCTAGACTGAAGCAGTAGACACATCTTGAAGTGCTCATACTAGGCGAGTGATTGACGACACCTTTTGGGCCAGTGCACTGCTAACAACGTTAATCAATTCTTTCAATGGACCACATGCAACGTTAACCTTTTGGAGGTTAGTTATTTACGTATAAATAAAGGGTTTTTTTTATGCATGACTAAAGCCTGGAAATAGTGTTCTGATGCTGATCCAGAAACAATAGTGGGAGAGTAATATAAGCTTTGCAGGCTCTGTAGGGTTACTATATTTAAGTGAGTGGTTCTACATCAAGAACCTGGAGTGCGTTCTACAGTTACGTTACTCGTCACAACTAGTTTCTAGTCAGCGCTAGCTTTGAGATCTGTAATACAGATCTTAATAGAAGAAATACTTGTAGTGTCTTGCATCACATTAGCTAGTGACTCATTTCTAATTGTAACTTAGACAAATACAACTTCCAAGTCAAAAATATCTCAGCCTTCTGGTTTTCTAGGTATTCTTGCAATTCTGTCTTGTTTAGTCAATACTATTTTAAATATCTGCTTGTTTTCAGTTGCTTGTTAAAAATGATAAAGTTGCTGTTCTAATAAAAGGTGTTATGATGTTAAGGATCACAACTAATGCTGTAAGTCTTGAACCCATGACCTCTATATCCTGATCAAAAGTCTCTCTTACTAGCTTCTCCAGAAAGGTAATAAACTGTCAGCTGTGTTCTTGCTGATGTGGTTAGTTCTTTTCACAAAACCCAGCATAAAACATTACATATATAAGGCACTCGAATGCATCCTCTTTCCTCTTGAGAGAGGAGGAGGAGTAAACATACACTTAACAAATGTTAATCATGTCAATTAACAGGGGAGGACTCATCAGTTAATACCTCATGAAGTTATAAAGGCCTGTTCAGGATGAGCCGGTACCCCAAAACTCGAATACTCTAAGCTGTAGCTAGGTGTAGCCAGTGTAAAGAAATCTTCATTCTTACTCCCTTTTGTCTACCTCTTGACCCAACAATATGTTAATTCATGTAAGTACACACAAAGATCATTCTTTTGCTGCCAAAAATGTTTTTTTCCCCACGTTCAACAGTTGCAAAGTGCAGTATTCTTTGCCTGCTGAAGTTGATGCAATTTAATCATAAATGAAGTCATCTTAAATTTGCTGACGGAAAGAGTTGTTGGCTATGTCTTCATAAAGTCTGCTACAGAATGCTTCATGGCCGTAATCGAAGATGGACAGCTACTTTTGGTGTCTGCACCAAATTCCTTTGGTAGTAATTATGGCTGACTTCCAGTTTCTCATTTTAATATGATTATAAACATACTTTTCACTTCCTGTCATACAACTATTAATCATCTCTATCGCACTATGCAGCTGTCCAAATTCTCTGCAGTTGCTGATTATCTGCCTGGGAGGCAGTTTCTTTATGAAGACAGAAGCACTATGAAGCGTGGCACTTCTCAGTGTTACTTGTCGTGTATGCTGACTGTAATGTTAGAGACTCAGAGTTACCATTCGACTTAAAACAGAAAACCTATCCACCCTCACCCCTAGGAGGAATATTTTTTCGGGTCTATGCCATTGTCAATCCAATTCAGAGCAAAGACCCACCTAAAGCCGCAGGCCAGACTTCTAGCTACACCCTGCCAGAAGTATATTCTGAATTATTTGCCTATTCTCCCTCAGCAGCTTGTATGTTTGCTTCAGAGTTGTTACACTCAGTGCAGTTCGTTTGTGGAAGGAAGCCAATTGCTAAACATCACTTGTTGGTGGGGCCAGGTGGGGGATGGTAACATCATGAGGTGCCTTTATGGATGTTGAGAACTTCCAAAATTCTGACAAGCAACTTCAGGGGTTACTGTGGGTAGTCTTTTATTTTTTTAAATATAACCAATTTGCAGCCTGTCTCTAACATAACCATTAAGGTATGAAACAGTAGAGAGTACAAAACTTTCTTGCGGAACAGGTGTGGTTTGTTAATAGCTGTATGATTCTGCATGTCAAGCCAGATCCTTTCTGTAACAGAACGACTTGTTCTTCATTTACAATATAATGATTGGTATCTGACTTCTGAGAAATGAACAAAACAAAAAAAAAAGGTGCTGGTTTTATGGGAAGTGTATTTGTCTTTCCAGGTCTTGCTTACTGTAGCAGCTAAAGCGAATCAGAATGCCTCTCAACGATGACCAGAACAGTGATTCAGATTCTTCACGCCTCTCTGAAAGCACAGCTTCTTCTAGCGACTCTGAATATTCAAGACAGAGCTTTAACAGTGATTCTTCAAGCAAACCCAGTTCCCCAGCGTGTAAGCCTATTTCAACCTTACCTGCATTGTGCATAGACAGATAAGGCTAACTTATCTCGTTTCTCTTTGCTGTCATGGGTAGAACCTGGGATTCTGAATCTCTGTTTAAGAGTATTAAGAGAAAGGCATGGCTTTCTCTCTGCTATGAAGCAGCGCATCTCCTTGTGTGTGGAACACCACCAGCAGCTGTATCCGTGGGGGTCTCCCTGTGCACTCCTTCCCTTCAGAAAGTGTAAGAAAAGTGTGCCACCATGGACATCCTAATCTTGATGTTGCTAGCAGTCTCCCACTCAAGTAGATATGGCTTTGTGCAAAGAGTGTGTTTCTTCTGTTTGCTCCATACACTTAAAGATTAAATCTGTAACTTACAGATTTATAATTCTACATGAAGTTACATGAAATTAATTTTACTTTTTTTTCTTTCATAAATATTAGGATAAAATAGAAAACACACATTTGCACAAGGAAGGTATTTTGAGTAATGATAAATAAAACCTTGACTAAGATGTGCTTCATGTTTGTGTCTGTAAGCATTCTCAGACCATGCATACTTTTTAGTACCTATGTAAGTGAAGTCGTACATTAAAACAAGCTTGTTAGTGGAGCTGCAATTAGCAGCTGTCTCTTTGTCTTTATTACCAGTCTTCAAAGATTTAATTCCAAATGCTAAATTAAATGACAGAATTTGTGGATTTAGAAACTTTGGGAATTTACTCTTGCTTTCCAATGTAGAGTTTCTATTATGTTGTTAATATCTGTTATGATGTTAATACTCATTTGTAAAAAGGGACTGTAACTTATAATGCATCTGCAATGAAACATAAGTGGGGGGTTCTCAAGTCAGTAACTTCAGAACTTTCTCTACAGGCAATAAAACCACAATAAACCCATTATGTGCTCAGAATTATAATGGACATCTGGTATCTGCTATTGCCCATGCTTTTGGTCTGGAGAATTTTACAGAACAGTCAATAGGAAATCTGTGGAATGCAAGATCCTGTTTTAAAGGAAAAAAAAAAAAGATATCTTAGCTAAAATGCAGAAATACTAAATTGCTTTTCAAAGTGTTATGAGGCTTGTGTGGTGTTACTCACACACACACCCCTGATAAGCTGGGAGTTTCCTGAGTTAGTGTCTTAAGAAGATATAAAGACCTGGTAATCCTAGGTTGTTTCTTCTAGAGTATTAGAGTCCAATTAGGAAGCAGTAAAATTTTAAATTTTAATATTTTCAATTGCACTATCAACTATAGATATTTGGCTTGAATTGATCTTGTTTGTTCCAGCAGCAAGCCCTCCCAAGGTTATTACGTTTGATGAACTGATGGCAGCTGCAAAAAATTTGACAGACTTGACTCTAGCTCATGAAATTGCTGTAAATGCAAATTTTTGCATAAAACATGAAGACTTCCCGCAGAACAGGTAAGAGCCTGAATTTTGCAAAAAGCAGCACTGGGGTTGGGAAGAGAGGAGAAATGAATGGAGCAGCAAATGAAAAGAAAAAAACCCCAAACCAAAACATCTTGGAAGGCTACAGATTTTTATCCTGCACCTCCAGGAGTCAGTGTCAAAGCTGTCTTGCTTGGAACAAGTGTTGCAGTCCAGCTGAGTTTATATACTGTCTTGGAGCATGTTGCTCTGTCTTATGTCATGTGGAAGATAAAAGGCTAATTCAACATGAATGCGCATAGTGGAGGTAGATATCAGTCTGTTCTGTGTGGTTCCAAACCCTGTGGAAACATTGAAATGGTGGCCTTCTATACAGTTGTATGTAGTAGCTTATTGGTGCCATAAAAAGATAGAGCTCATCATGAACATAGCTCTAAACAGATGCAAAAATACCTGGCGATACAGAGGAAGTGAGAAGTAACTTCCCTAATGTAGATAGCTAAAATGTTCTTGCTTACAGACATGTCTAACTTAAAAATGACCCTGGTCTTACATCGAGAAAATTTACGTAAAATAACAAACAGGCTTTTGCACAAGGCCCTTAACTGATAATTACTTATATAACAGAATAGTTTTTGAGACGGCTCAGTACATAATGTACCAGGTTAGGACAATGAATACAAATTCAGTAAGGAAAAAGGAAAGGTAATATCTCTTTACCTGCATCTGAATTGCCAGCACCACTTTATAAAATACAGGTGTTTTAGGACTTACCAGTCTAGACCACATTTTGGGAGCTGATCATCCACAGCCAAAGAAAGGTATAGTTGCAGGTCTCGATAGCTGGTGAGGTGTTCTGTGTTTCCCAACAAGTGATCAGGCTCATCTAACGCTTCTACCAAGGATGATAGCTAGTTGGGTGTTTTTTCTGTATCTAATTGACTTGCTCCACAGCTTTGCAGGCACAGTGAAACAAATTGTACACAAGGCATTTTGGGATCATTTGGAATCAGAACTGAACGAAGATCCTCCAGAATATGAACATGCTATCAAGCTCTTTGAGGAAATTAAGGAGGTAATGTTCTTCCTCCTTTGTGCTCCAGTATTGTTTTGTCAGCTTAGGCCTAAGAGTCTCTTATTTCACTAAAGGGTCTGCTAACTCAGTCAAGCCAACACCTTCAAGTTCTTTTTCCGAAGGTGAAACCATGATTATTCAGAACTGCAAATAGGTGTCTATTTATAGTATATTGATCATGAATATGTCCATGAATGCGCAGTGGCATATCCACTCAGCTTTCATTGCACGAGTCAATGCTCTTAGTCAGCTCTTTTCTCAAAACTTCACATCTCTACTAGCCTCTTTCCAGCAACATACTGTGAACTTGGGCCATGAAAAGGAGTATAAACATGACTGCACCTGCCCAAATAGACTTTATTGTTTATGATCATTGCACAAGGGAGTGTACAAATGTTCAATCCTGGCACAATACTAAGTCTTTCAAAGTTTTAAGTTAGTAAATGTTTGTTTTACAGGGCAGCCTCCCAGTTTTTGAAAGAGTCTCATTGTTGACATGCTTTCTGTTTTACTAGCTTCGAGCATTTTTGTAGAACTGTACTGTGATCCTTTTAACAGTCCTTCTCCTGCTACCTTAGATAATGTTCAGTCTTAATGTGTCCTGTTATAACTGATCAGCTAAATACACTTATTGACATGAATATTAAAATCTTAATTCAGTGTGTTTACTAAGTGATATGGTTTTTATTGATAAGCTTTTCCTCTTTTTTTTCCCCCTTGCTTTAGATTCTTCTTTCCTTCCTGACTCCTGGAGCAAATAGGATTCAAAATCAAATTTGTGAAGTTCTAGATACAGATCTTATAAGACAGCAGGCGGAACATAATGCTGTTGATATTCATGGGCTAGCTAACTATATCATCAACACTATGGGAAAGTTATGTGCTCCAATAAGAGACAACGATATAAAACAGTTAAAAGCAACTGACAATATTGTAGAATTACTGAGGTTGGTATTTCGGTGTGTTTTTAGAGGAGAAACCTCTTCTCAGAAAGAGTGCTGGGCAGTGGAAGAGGGGAGTAAAGTCTTAAAAAGAAGTCTCAAATTGTGTCAGTTTATGTAACACCTGTTTTTCAACTATAGGAAAACTTACTTTTATACAGAAGGGGAGGATTTTTATTAAAGGGCAGTAGCTATGACACACTGTGACCAGAATATTATGTGTATCTTAACTTTTTAATGAAATGGGTAGAATGCCTAGCTCTGAATATCTAAGCTACTGAACAACAACAACAAAAAAACACTTTTGCAATAATCTGTGTTTCGGAGACTGATTTTTTTCAGTCTTGTTCATCCTTACAAAATTTAAGCAGCATATTCGTACTGTTCCTTCTTGAACTGTTTATTGCATGCTTCCTCTAGGAGGCCAAACTTTGGCTTTAAAATCTCTTTCATAAAGATCTTATTACTTGAACTTGAGTAGAACACTTGCATAAAAGAGCAGAAATCAGTTTACTGCTCCTTAGGTACACTGACATATTAAGAGTAAATGGTATTTGTTCTACTGTTTTCTTGCAACTTGGATCATATACAGGGACCCAAGCAACTGCATCAGAAGGGTTGTTTCTCTTGGTGCAATTAAAGTGATGAAAAATTAAAATCTGTTTGTTTAGGCTGAAATGTACCAATTAATACAGTTCTTGAAAACCCATCTCTTCCTGTTACAGGGTTGCATTGCAGCATTTAGTGATGTTACATATTTGTCCTGTTCTCTAACTTACACCAAGTCTTATACACAATACTCCTTTGAGTATCCTGGAAGATAGGTAACATATCTGTTATGCTGAAATACCAATGAAGGAGTGTACTTCTCCCAGGATTGAAATTAAAGTGCTATTATAGGTGTACCTCACTGGTGCTGGTTAAAAACAATAGACTATTGTAACTGTCAAATTTTAAACTCCTCCTTTCAGACAAATATTCCGTGTTTTGGACCTGATGAAAGTGGATATGGCTAATTACACAATTCAAAACCTTAGGCCATACCTTCAGCGTAATTTGGTGGACTACGAAAGAACAAAATTCCAGGAAATCCTTGAAGAAACACCAAGTAGGTATCAGGCTATATTTAATTTAAACCTTTCTTTAAAAAGAGGGCTATTTAAAGACATGCTGTAAAATCTACCAGTTGCAGTTAATTTGGAGGAAAATGTCAGTTTCTTGTCTGGATCTAATGCAAAAAATCTTTGACAAGCAAGCTACCAATGGGCAATTGCTTTAGTTGCTGTAAAGTTTGTTTATCTGTAATCTGGGCAGCTTTCAGACAAACTTTTATTTGCTAAATTGGTTGGTGTCTGAAAAATAAACAAACAACAGCTCTTACTGTCTGGAGGCAGAAGGCGTACATACTGAAAGATGAGGCTTTATCATTTTTCTATGCAGCAAGTTTGTTGTTAGTCTGAAGTGAACATGTAAAACCATTTAGTGTGCCCGAAAGTTGGAAGGGACAGGATCATTTTTTTTTTTAATAAAAGGCAGGCTTTGAGGAAAATTTCTTGGGTGATGTAAAGACAACTTGATCCACTGTTACAGGTTTTGTGTAATGTGGCTAAACAGTCTTCAGGAAAATAGGTTTTCCAAGAAGAAGTAAACTTACTAACATCTGGAGCAGGGACTTCTAAAATGGGAACTTTGAGCCACTGATACAGCCTGCCGTGTTTATATATGCAGCATGTAAAAAGAACTCTTTAAAAACATTTCATTTGTTGTTAATACAGTTTATCTCCCCTCACCTCTACTTCCCACTCCTATGCCCCAACCATTAAGTGGCCTCCCTGAAAAAGGGGAAAAAAATGCTTTGGGAATTTGAGGCTTTTCTACCCAGAAGTCTTGGGTGAAGCCTAACAATTTGGTTTTGGGTTTGTATGTGCTAGCTAGAATATTAAGGTGACCAGTAGAACATGATCAGTGGGGAAAAAAGTGAGGGAGAGAATTTATGTGTGTGAAGACTCAGCTGTCCACTGTGTTTGTTTAGACTTCAGAAGTTCAATGCTCTTGTTCATGTGTACAGCTCTCTTCTTCAAACTAGTGCTTACTTTGATGAAAGCATGCAGTAAATCTGTGGATTTGCAATGCTTAGGTGCCCTGGATCTCACAACAGAATGGATAAAGGAATCAATAGAAGATGAATTGTCATCTGTTTCTGATGAATCTTCGTCATCCCCTGGTGCTGATAGTAGTTCCAAACGAATTATTAGTCCTACCCTGGTGCTAAACAACGGCTACTTGAAACTGTTACAATGGGATTATCACAAAACAATTCCAGAGGTAAGAAGTGTATTTCAGTGTATTCAGATTTCTAGCTACAGGAAAACATTGTTTAGTATAATAATCCTGCTATTGATGACAATAGGAGAAGTATTCTCTTGCACTTCCTAAATTTCTGAATAGTAAATTTGGAATTTGGAAAGTATATGCTAGTCTAGTTTCTGAAATATGAGATGGGCAAGTCAACAGCTAGAAAAGAACAAGGTAAAGGTTGTTTTCCCTCTATCCAGTTGTAGCTCACCAGCTCCACCCTAAGAGCAGTCTTGGCCGTAGTCAAAGGCTGGGCCTTGTACTGGCAGCACTTGGCTTTCTGTATCTTTGAGAGAACTGACCGTAGCATCCAGTTTTCCTAACAGCAGCAGGAACTGGTGGGATCATTCTTGCTTTGGAACAGAATCAGTAAAAACTCGAAGCCCTCTAGAGTAGATATTCACCCTTTCTCAGTGCATATTGCTCAAATGCATACTGCATCAAGAATCAGTGTTCAGTTTTTCCCTCGAACTCCTGACTACTGACCTCTGCAACTTTCTGTAAAGCCAATTTGAAGTTGGCCATCAGTCAGGGCTAAAATTAGCATCCGCAGTGAGCACCTTAGCTATACTTAGTGTGGCCTGGAAGACAATTTGCTAAATACGTGGGGATGTTCTTAGTGCTCTCGGTCAGTGGATGGAAGAGAAACTGCCTTACTCTCACCTTCCTTTGAACGGTTTTGAAGAAGAGCTACACACTGGTATCCTCCTGTGGATCTGATTTGTCATACTATGACATTACTATGAAACAGTTTGATGTTAATGCCCCTGTGCTTCTCAATGGAGGGATTTGGTTAGATGAACTCTTTATAACCTAAAATAAGTCACTGCAGCTACATCTTGCTGTGGGAATTACTTACATTCTTGGTATGATCAACTGGCTTTTTGCCTGTAAGCAGGTTTTGTATCACTTGCAGAACTTGCTCTGGTAGTTGAACTGGTCGTTGTCACGTGCGATTGTTCATCACTGTCCACCAGTTACAGATTATAATACTTTTCAGAGGACAGCTGAATCCAGAAGACTATTCTGTCTGTAACCTTGATCACTACAATGTCCTCTGGATCCCCTGAGAATTCCACATCATGGGCTGAATTGTTAGTCACAGGTATCTGTCAGCAGTGATGAGGAATAAGATGCAACGTCCTCAGTTTCCTCTGCACTGAAGGCATTACCTTTCTTCCCACTACAGCCTTACTTCTGGTACTTATACAGAATGCCAGTTTGTGCAATACTACGTATTCAGGGTATTTCAGCTGCTGTCTCTTCTGAATTTGCATATTTGTGATTAAAAATATTAATGTTTCATGACTACATCCTATATCTGTCCTTTTCCCTACCTTTCTCCGTATTCCTAAATTAGTATTATTGTTTCGATTCCAGACTCTAATAACAGATGAAGTTCGTCTTCAGGAGTTGAGAGAAAAGCTCAATCAATTAAAAATCATAGCTTGTGTTTGTCTCATAACAAACAATATGGTGGGTGCAGCAATTGTAGATGTGCCTGATTTTGCTGACCAACTGAAAAGGATCTCTATTCCTCTTCTTGAAGGCATGAACAAGAAGTAAGGCCTTGTTTTTATCACTCTTCATGTTGTTTTTTTTTTTTAACAGGAAATACCAAGTGGATCTGAAAATCCTTGGAAACAATTCAACTGTCATAGCCAGTGCTTGTTAATAATGGGAAGATACCGAATTTTAATAGTCTCTATGTTCCCTTTATAATATAAGTCCACTGTATGTTAGGCATGTTTTCAAAGTTAAGTTTTTTAATCTTGATGTTAGTCTACAGAATTTGGAGCCTACTACTAAAGTTTATTCATATGCTCCTAATACTGGAGAGACTATGGCAATACATTGACTGAATTGTCTTGGCAGTTGCTTCAGACTTGTTGTAGGTAGTTTAAGCCATTTGCCTGCCTATTTGTGCTGCCGCTTGCACTACAAGCAAGTCCGATGTGATCTGAAAGAGGGTCTCATTAAATAGTTCTCCATTCTGCTTTTTCTCATGAAACGTGGCCCAGGATAAGCATAAGGGCAAAATGAACTGGTGTCACTGCTGTACCCTTCAAATTATTTTTCCCGTTTGAATCACAATTAGGTCCTTATTTTATCTTCCACGTGGAGACTTGTCCTGTGTCTATAGATGTACAAAAATACGCAAAAGCAAAAGATAACTTTTCTAAATGGTCTCATTGCAGAGAGCAGGTAGAAAATAAAAGGGAAAACAGACAGGTGAGGTCATCTTACAACCTATGCTACAGAAACTGCAAAATTTAATGCTTTTCTAATTCTGTCTTCCAGAACTTTCGATTTGAAGGAGGCTTTGAATGCTATTGGTGTCCAGATTTGCAGCAAAGTGAACAGGTCTCTAGCTGAAAGAGGTCTTCCCACTCTTAGTGAAGAAATGCAAAGTAATTTAATGGGTCAAATTGCTCATATTGTTGAGGACAACAATCCTGTCAGTTCCTTGATTGGTTAGTAAGATAATACATAATTCTCTTATTGTGTGTACCTGTATATAAACTTACTCCCAGCAAGCTTAATCAGCTGTCTAACTATTTTTTAAAAGCACTTTTTTACTGCAGTAAAATACCGGGTCAACTAAGAGTAAGGAAATGTTGTTTACCTATAGATGGTGTTCTTGATACACTGCAGAGCATGGTTAGTCACCGTGAGAAATAATTTAAAAAGTGTCTGTACAAACAAGCCTAGAGATGCTAGTATTTTGGAAAAGAATTTAAAAAAAATGAGTGCTATTCAGTCTCCCTTCTGTCAGTTCTGGGTTTAAACCTAGTGGTTTCTTTCTCTGAGTCTACTTCTTATTAGGTAATGGAACTTGTTGCAGTGGGTTTATGCTGTGTCCACCTTGCAGGAGCCAACTTTAAGAAGCTTTCAGTATTGTTGCCCACTACAACGTGGGCTTGGGACAGAGTTGTTACCTACAT